AGCTACTTCTAAACTTCTGATGCGGCTAGCTTAACACATCTGATGATCTCTCACTGGATCCAAAATTATTCTAGGGCTATCTTATTTCATACGCTCCTTGGTGCTCGGTCAACTAATATCAATGGTTATCTTGGTTAAACACATAATTTTAATATGTTAATTCATCATGTCATAAGTTGGTCGTGCATAAGGATTCAATTTGTACCAGCAGAGACACTGCAACTGGTGAAAGGTCAAACTGCGAAGCCATGGAGCCAAAAAATCTAACACTGACATTATTAGAAAAAATTACGGATAATTTCTCCAAGGAGCGATTACTTGGTCATGGTGCATATGGAAAAGTTTACAAGGTAAGATTGATTCAACACTTCATTTTGTACCAAAAAGGTGTGGCACGAAACCAGCAAACAAAGCTTGATACATACATTTTTCTGCTTGTCATATGATGTTGTGTGTTGTACATCTTGAGCAGGGTGTGCACGATGGACGAGAGATTGCTGTGAAGCTGCTCAATAATAACATGCAAACAATTGACGATGAGCAATTCATCCACGAGTTTTCTAACCTTATGATGCTAAACCATCCAAACACTATACAGTTGGTTGGCTACTGCTATGAAACACGACGTGAGCATATGGAATTCAAGGGCAAAACTGTTTTTGGTGAAACAACATATAAAGCACTTTGCTTCGAGTATATGCCCAAGGGGAGCCTTCAAAGGCATCTTTCTGGTAACGAGGATGCTCCACTTCAACTATACTACATAAACATCTCTTCTGTTCCATAATATAAGACCTTATTACATCCAATTTGCGAGTATATTGGATGTAATAAGATCTTATATTATTGGGACGGAGGGAGTACTTATTAAGCATGCCAAGAAAAATGTTATCTATTTCTGGATACAATTGACAATCTCTTTGTATAATAAATTTGCAGATGAATGTAATGGATTCGATTGGCAAACACGTTACAAAATTATCAAAGGGGCCTGTGAAGGTTTAAAATACCTCCATGAAGGATTCGAAAAACCATTTTACCACTTGGACCTAAAACCAGACAATATCCTTCTAGATAAAAACATGGTCCCTAAACTAGCGGATTTTGGTTTGTCCAAGCTTTTTGGCGAAGAACAAACTAGGGTGACACAAAGTACTATTGCAGGAACTGTGTAAGTAAATGCCTCCTGTGAATGAACTTATTTCCAATGAATAGACTGTATTTGTAATATTTATGTTTCCATATGCAGTGGATACATGCCACCAGAATACTTATTTGGAAATTTAGTCTCAAATAAGTTAGACATATTCAGCTTGGGTGTTGTAATGACCAAGATAATTGCAGGGCATAATGGCCACGATGAGCTTCTTGATCAAGTAAGAAAGATATCTCTTCGATTGGACAAAAGGATCATGTTTATTTTGAACAATAGTATGATATCCCCTACATTTGTATGTGATAATTCTAACAATACACTTTACATAGGTACAAGTAAATTGGAGAAAAAGGTTGCAGACAACATGGTGCTCTCCCGAGCCACTAGAAGCACAATGTCAACAAGTGAAAAGATGCAGTGAGATTGCATTGAGCTGCATGGAGACGGATAGGCACAAAAGGCCAAGTATAGTGGATATCATACATGAACTTAACAAGACTGAAGCTTTTATGGAGAAGATTACTACTTACTATGAACAAGAACCGTCACCACTACCTTCCAATTCAAATGTTGTTCAACCTGTAGCATCAGCTGGACCTTCAAATCCATTCCCACCACCTGTCCCAACAGCATCTTACATTGGATCTTCAACACCTCGCTGGCTTCCACCTCCAGTGACTAGTTCTGTCATGCTGCCACCACCGACATCGCCACCGCCAAGTGGTGGCCTGACGAAATTCTTCCGCATGTCCATCCGGCGCAAGCCCAAGATGAAAGGTGCATGTCCTTTGTCCATTTCCTTCCTCGGTCACTCTTATGTTCTGTTTGAGATAGGCAATACATCGCATCACATATTCACATCTACCTTCTCACGTTCGCATCTTCTGCACAGATTTGCTTGCCTCTCATAGATTTCCAGAGAAGAGCTTCATAGATTTGCTTGCCTCTCACAGATTTGCTTGCCTCTCATAAATTTGCTTGCCTCTCATGGGATGAAGTTTTTTTGTTTGCAAAACACAGTACAGACACAGACGGACACGCAAACGCTTGCACACCCAAATGCTCACAAATTCACTTACCAACAATTGGTGGGTGCAACCCGTGACTTCGCAGACACGCGAATGCTTGGAAAGGGTGCCTTTGGTGTTGTCTATAAAGGTGCAGTGATGGTGCAAGACAAAGAGGTGGACGTGGCTATAAAAACGGCACTTGTTGTGTCAGATGAAGCTAGGGCTGCCTTTAAGAACGAGGTTGAGATTATGAGCCCGCTGAACCATTCCAACATTATACGTCTTGTGGGTTCGTGCGACGAAGAGGACAATCTCTTGCTTGTTTACGAACTAGTGGAGGATCGCAACCTTCAGGCTCGGCTTTATGGCCATGGTGCTCGTGTGGACGCAGAACTAACCGGTGTAAGGGCTCGGGGTTCAAGCCTTTATCTAGATTGGCGGAAAAGGTAGTTACCACACGAATATATGTTACATAACTCCAAAGTAAATGTTTTTCAGTATAACCTTTTCTTATTATTATTTTCCATCATGGAAAGAAACCAGGAGACTATAACCTTCAAATTACTTGGCTGACAGAGAACTCAATGTTTGTGTTTCAGGTATAACATACTGCTTGGAATAACCTGGGGTCTTGAATACCTCCATGCTAAATGCTCTAAATGTGTCCTGCATAGGGACATCAAGCCAGGCAATGTGATGCTGGATAGGGACTCCAATGCTAAACTGTGTGACTTCGGGCTGGTGACGCAACTCACCCACGCAATAACCTCACGCTCAACGAACAACATCATTGGAACACAAGGCTACATGGACCCAGCATACCGGAACACCGGGAAGATAACTAAGGAATCTGATGTGTACAGCTTCGGTGTGCTGTTGCTTGAGGTTGTATGTGGAGAGGAGCCAGTCCTAATTGACGGTGCTGGGAAAAACAGCCTCATCGAGAAGGTCCGAGAATGTGAGAAGAGAAATGCAATTCTCGATGCAGCTGCCCAACAACTAAGGGGCGAGTTTGATGAGGAAATCAAAGCAGCACTATCGATCGGGCTCTGTTGTGTCGAAACAAGACGTGGTGACCGTCCAACAATCCAAATTGTGTTGGGCCGGTTATTAAGCTTGACCGGCAAATTAGCTTCCAATAACCGCCATCCAAACGCAGTGTGTGATGAGGTGTGAGTCTTGACAGAGGTAGGAGAAGATGTTCCTAGGGCAGCACAATAACAGTCAGGCCCTGCATAGTATGTGGAACGACGAACTTCATCATTGAAGCTATATTCGCTGTTCGCTCGCCATATGCTATATCCATCCGTGTGACGATGTGTCCGTGTGTGTTTGTGTACTTGATAGCAATTATGTAACTGTCAGTCATCTTATGATTCAATAAATCTTGTTGTCATTTTCGTTGACATCCTAATTTAACCAAGCTTGGTAGCCTTTTTTCATCTCATCAATTTATCTGTCTAAAATCTTTTTATCGAGATCAAGAGTCAATCAAATGTATAAATAGCTCGCATGCTGTGTGAGCAGGAACTCGAATGGTACCGACATTCTACCTCTAAATTTATCCTGAAAGGTAATTAAAATACTAGATATTTCCATGGTGTCATCAATGGTAAACACTGAAATAAACTTATTCATTCCTACAATAGGAGGAGGGTACGATTAAGGAGCATGAGCAACTTAAATTTTATATCACCAATTATTATAAAAATCTGATTGGCACCCAGAGGAAGGATACTTCTCGATGGATGAGTATGACATTTCCTAGGTCTCTGATGAGGAAAATAGCCTTCTAACGACGGAAAATTCGAATCTGAGCCCGAGCTCATCTGCACCCGCGTTCACGAAAAAAAATCAAAATAAATACTAGAAAAATTCAAAAAAATTCCAAAAACTTTTTGGGTGGTGGACAATTTGATGCGTGAGGTACGATCCAATTTTCAAAACATTTGGACTTCTGTGTAGCTCTCAGCAAAAAAGACAAATCGGAGGTCTATAAAAATGTGTATGGTTCATATACTGTTCTAGTCTGATTTGTCTTTTTTGCTGAGAGCTGCACAGAAGTCCAAATGTTTTAAAAATTGGAGCGTACCTCACGCATCAAATAGTCTACCACCCAAATTTTTTTGGAATTTTTTGATTTTTTCTGAGTTTTTTACGAATTTGTTTTTGACCAGGTGCAGATGCACCCGGGCACCGAAACGCCGTTCTCTCTAACAACTCCTTATTCTAAGGAGGAAGTTAGAAATGTGGTTTTCCTAATGGAGCACAACAAACTCCCGGATCAGGATGGTTTGCTGAGTTCTACCAAAACTTCTGGGAAGTCATCAAACCGGATCTCCTGCTTTTGTTTGGCTACCTACATGCTGGCCAGCCGGAATTGTTTCGCTGAAAATTCGGTAAGATTACTTTATTACCTAAAGTTAATGAGGCTGAAAGGATGCAACAATATAGACCAAGCTGCCTCCTTAAGGTTAGTTTTAAAATCTTCACGAAAGTTACGATGATTCAGCTAAATTTGGTTGCTGACCATGTGGTTCATCCTTGAGAGACTGCTTATTTGCAAGACAAAAACATCCTAGATGGAGTTGTCACTACTAGTAAAAGGGCTATAGATAATATGGACATTAATGACGCACCACACCCACGATGTGTCACTACTAATAATTTTTTATTTTTCCAAAACTAGTAATGGCGCACCAGCGCATAGTGCGCCATTAGTAGTTTTAACTAGTAATGGCACACCACACACTCTGTGCGCCACTACTAATATTTTTTTTATTTTTTTTCAAAACTAGTAATGGCGCACCATAGTATAGTGCGTC